ACTGCAGGACAGTCGGTGATATCCATGGCTCTGCCTACCGGATGTTAGTAGCACTCCCAAGAGAAGACAGCCTTCAGAGTCTGCTGCAGAGCAAGGCTGATCACAGTGGAGAAACACTGCTCCAAGGTGTAGGCTGGGTCCAGACAACGTTTCCACATAAGCCACCTGTGTCTTCAGTTAAGGTGATAGGGTCCCTTCCCCTCTACAGATAAGACGCTCAAGGTGCAGATAACCTACCCAGGCCTATTCTTTTTTTTTCTTTCAATATTTGGAATTGAATTCAGGGCTGTTTTACCACTGAGCTACATCTTCAGGCCTTTTAAATTTTTCTTTAGACATTGGTTCTCACTAAATCAATCAGTTGCCCAGACTGAGGTCAAACTTGCAAGCCTCCTGGCTTGGCCATCTCGTAGAAACATGTTTACCACTGGATGGACTGAGTCCAAGGAAATTCCTTTCTTTCCCTTGCACAAGGAAGATGTATGCCATTCCCCTCTCCTTTTCCTTACAGAGCAAGCTGTCCTTGAACTCTCTTCACTGCATCTGGAAAGAAGAATCTTCAAAATTAACTCAAGCACAGCTCCAGAAACGACATATTTTTGCCATGTCCTTTGGTTTCCAGAACTGGAGAAAGGCTGGGCCAGTATTTGTAACCTTCGGTGTGCTAGGGCTTGTAGGCTTTTCCATGGAATGTCTTGCTAAGATACTTCTCCAGCCCAAGGGCAGGGAGAGTCCAAGCTGGTGGCTCACAGAAGACTGTTTATCCCCACTGAGCATCAACACAAAGTAAGATCCAGAGAAGGACCAGATTTGCCACATCTGACAACTTTTTTTTTTTTTTTTTTTTAATGTTTTGTAAAATGGATGCTTGGCCAATGAGTGACATAAAATTTTAGAACTGGAAAAATGCTCTTAGCAAGTATTTTCTAGAAAAGAGAAATGCAAGCTTTTTCTCTGCACTTGACAGGCTCCTTTGTTCCCTTGACATGTGCTCTCATGCATTTTCCTAGACTCATTTCTGACCTCAGCCTTGGAAGCACAAAGTTCCAAAAAAGTTTGGGTGTAGTCCTCTCTCTCTCTCTCTCTCTCTCTCTCTCTCTCTCTCTCTCTCTCTCTCCCCCCCAATTTCTTTCCTTCTCCTCCCTTCTGAGAAATGAGGATTCCAGTTTTGTTTGTTTAAAAAATTTAACCAGAGTACAATCCTGAGGCTTGGGTAGGGATTTTAAATCTTCAAAACTTAGAGTATAAATATGAAAGAAAAAAGAAAAGAGAGAAGGGAAAGAAACAAGGAATAAGGAAGAACAAAAGAAAGTAAAACAAAGAATGAGGCCACTCAGATAGCTCAGTGGATTAAAGCACCTTCCTAGGCAGAGTACAGGGACTGGGGTTCGATCCCCAGTGAGCCATGCTGGCCCACTCCCATAGTGCACTGAGACAGTGATTGAGACGGCATGGTGCATATGCCTGTAATCCTAGTGCTTGGGAGGCTGAAAACAGGAGGATTACTACCTGTCCAATCTGTGTAGTGAGACCTTATAGACCCTGTACTGCATACATAAAAAAAGAAAAAAAAAATGAAGAAGACAAAAAGCAAATTGTGTGCAAAGAAAAACCTTAGAGGATGGATTGTCATTATGTAGATATGAAGAATCAATTATTTTTTTGTGCTCTAAAACCTTATTAATCAAGGTTAAACTCACCTCACTTGAAAAAAAATGCATAACTTCATACTCCACCCAAGGTCCACAGAGAAGAATCTATATCACATGATATCAGATATGATTATATACTCTGATATTTGAAGAAGCATTGGTCTCAAGATACATCTCTAACAGGGAACTTCCTGCAGATCAATGGGGGCAGGAACATAAAGATCACCTGAGAACTCTAAGAAACATGAACTCCCAGGCCCTGCCCTGGATTTACTGAATCAGAACCTCTGAGTAAGCCCAGCAGAACATATTTGAATAAGCCTTGCTGGGCATCTGTTGTGCGCTCAAGGTGGATAACTATAAGGCTAGATAGTTTTTAAACACTGGATGAGTTTATATTGGTCAGGTGCATTATGTCTTCAAACATTTCAAGGATCCTGGGGTAATACTAACAGTGTGTAACAACTTGAGTGCTTTGAGTGCTGATCAGCTTGGAACAGACACTAGATGAGCATCTGCCCAGCTGGTTGGCCTACTAGGCTGTGAGATTTGTGGGAGAGATGAGGCTGTTTTAAGGGAGGAGTGGGATCAGCCTCAATGAAGTGAAACAAGGGGATAGAGAAGAGGCAGAGGACATTTGTCAATGATTATGTTTTAATAATTCAACAGCAGGTATGGCTATCCTTGTGTGTATCAGCCAAATATCCTCCTTATGCTAGTGATCATAAATATAAAAATTCAGCACTGGGTGTGGTAGTGCGTGCCTATAGTCCCAGTGCTTGGGAGGCTGAAAACAGGAGGATCACTATGAGTCCAATCTGTGTAGTGAAACCATGTAGACACCATACTAAGT